CTTCTTCCAACACAGATCTGTTGGATCTTTTGGCAGCCCATGGCACTTTCAATATTCTCCTCCAACACCATAACTCAAATGCATCAATTCTTCTATGATCTTCCTTATTCACTGTCCAGCTTTTGCATGCATGTGAGGTTATTGAAAATACCATGGCTTGGGTCAAGCACACCTTAGTCCTCAAGCTGACATCTTTGCTCTTCAACGCTTTAAAAAGGTCTTGTACAGCAGATTTGCCCAATGTGTTGATAGTTGATCCAAGAAGAATGAAGTCCTTGACAACTTCAATCGTTTCTTCATTGATAAGAATGTTGTTTATTGGTCCAGGGGTGAGGATTTTTGTTTTCTTTACATTGAGGCGCAGTCCATACCGAAGGCTGTGCTGTTTGATCTTTACCGGTAAATATTTTAAGTCCTCTTCATTTTTAGCAAGCAAGGTTGTATCATCTGCATATCGCAGATTGTTAATGAGTCTTCCTCCAATCCTGATGCCACATTTTTCTTCATAGAACCCAGCTTCTTGGATTATTTGCTCAGCATACAAACTGAATAAGTATGGTGAAAGAATACAACCCTGTCGCACACCTTTCTTAATTTTAAACTACTCAGTGTTCCCATGTTTTGTTCGAACAACTGCCTCTTGGTCCATGTACAGGTTCCTCATGAGCACAATTAAGTGTTCAGGAATACTCATACTTCACAATGTTGTCCAGAGCTTTTCATGATCCACACAATCAAAAGCCTTTGCGCAGTCAATAAAGCACAGGTAAACATCTTTCTAGTATTCTCTGCTTTCAGTCAAGAGCCATCAGACATCAACAGTGATATCCCTCGTTCCACATCCTCATCTGAATCTGGCTTGAACCTCTGGTAGTTCTCTGTCAATGTATGCTTGCAGCCATTTCTGTATTACCTTTAGTGAAACTTTACTTGCATGGGATATCAAAGAGATGATGATTTCTGTATTCCGTTGGGTCACCTCTTTTTGGAATGGTGACCTCTAGCACATACTAAATACGTAATAAATGTTGAGTATGCTGTGTAGAACTCTAAAGTGGACACACAGTTTCCTTAGTCTTTCTGAAACTTGTGTATCCCCTCCCCATCCCCCATGGCTATAAAAAGTTTTGTTTTCACATCATAAGCCTCCAGAGGGACTAGAATGGTTGGCTGGATTTAAATACTGTTAAAACTTCAGAGGTCAGAGAAATAAAAGGACTAAGAAGGACCCAGTGCCTTTTGGGTTCTCCCACAGAAATACATTAACTTCAGGACATAAATGTGAGTAAAGAAAAAGCTTTGCTGAGACAAGCTGCTGCCTTCCCTGTCCGGAAGCCCTGAAGGTACAGTTACAGTTCCCCTTCAGAATCCCCTTGAAATTCTGAGGTGGGTTGCACAATTCTGACCCAAGTTAAATATTACTTAACCTCCTAGAGGACACACTATAGCTATCTTTTATTAACCAGCTCGCCAACAGCCAGGCCTCACACTTCCTGATAGCAGTGCACATAGAATGACTGAAGACTGCGGGCAGCAAGAAGCGCCATTCTATGGCAGGAAGCTTTCCACGGTGAGGGCCACCCCTCAAGGGGATCAAGCAGTGAGAAATGTCACCATCACTGTGACATGATGTTTAGAAGACTCATCTTTGAGGGCTTCTTGACCCTCTTTGAAATGCTTGATCCATCTAAAGACTTTGTTTTCATATGGGGCAGGATCCCTGTAAACTTGTTGCAAAGCTTCAGTGATTTGGGAAGATGTCCACTTGAGTTTTGTTACATTTTTTATATTAGCCCTGACCCTCAGTATCATTTTTTTCCCATGGCATAAAAAGTATCTTTTTTATAAAAGTCTCCCTAACAAAGGCCAAGGTGTATTACTGAGCCTTCCAACTTGTCTGCAGCCATTCACTGATCATAGAGACATGTTTAAACACATTTTGTTTTGAAATAAACCCATGCATGTATGACCTGGAACCCTAGTAGCAACATTGTTTTGCTTACCCTCTTATTAGTAGTTCTAGATTAGTCTGGCTTTCTGCAGAAATGTATTCTGCCGTGTGTGTGTGTATGGTGGAGGTAACGTCCAAGTGCCCCACTATTTTGACACCTAAGGTGGAGAGTTGGGAGTACAAATTCTGGCTCCTTGCTTGGTTAGAGTCTAGAGATCTTTGAAAACACCAGGTCCCTGCCTTCTGAGCTTTGTTTGGGGCCACATACTACCCTTTTGGTCTCATGTGCTTGGTTGTTCTGAGAAGCACGTTTATAGGCCTGTCTGTTGTTTGACTGCAAAGTGATCCCCGGAGGTGGCTTCCCTTCAAGATTTGAAGGGTATGTAAGGGCCATAGTCTCGGGGTTCTACCAGTCTTTGTCAGACCAGTATGTCTGTTTCGTTTGTGTTTTTAATGATTGTGACTTGTGCTCTACATTTGTCTCCTATTCTGTCCAGGACCTCTGTGTCTTTATCAGAGCAGTCAGTGGTGGGAGCTGGGCACCATCTAGTTCTTTTGGTCTCAGGGTCGTGGAGGTGGTGTTTGTGTGGTCCGTTGGGACTAACTGTTTCTGTCTCTTTGAGCTTCACTCTTCTTTCCTCTGGACAGAGAGAGACGAACAGCTGCATCTTAGACAGCCACTCACTGGCTTTTAAGACCCCCAACATTGTCTTTACACACTAGGTTATGCCAGTAGACTTAGCGGTCCCCCAGGACTGTAGTTCTAAATCCCCATTCCCAGTGCCTCATTCCCTGTATAGAACTTTACTCCCTGTAGGTTCTACTATGGTGGTGGTTGTGTGCCGTTGAGTCGGTTCTGACTTTATAGCATCCTTGTTTAGGGTTTCCAAGGGTGTAAATCTTCTATATGGTTCATTTTGCTACTTCTGTCACTTAAAACTTCATGATACCATGGATAGTGCTCAGCTAGCACTACTGAACATGTAATCAAGGATTCTATAGAAGAATCCTGATTATATAGGAGAAAGGCAGAAAAGAACTTCAAATCCTCCCGGAATCCTGATTTTATGGAGTCTTGGAGGCTGGATGAATGCCTAAAATCTTCTTCAAACCAAACAATGTTTTAATTTAACTGGTACTGAATATCTGCCTTGATTGAACATTGTGTTCTTTTAAGATCTATCTGTATGGAATCAAATTGACAACAGCAACTGGAAAGGTTAGATCAGACCCTTAGGGGGCAGTGAGTTCATCTTCCTGGGGAAGAAACAACTCCGAAAAGGAGGATGGGAATGGTTGCACAACTGAGATGTTGTCAACGTCCCTGAATTGTAGTGCTGGTGATTGTGTGCTGATACGTCGCTGCCGATCATTGCAACCCTACGTAGGGTTTCTGAGTCTGTAAATCTTTACGGGAGTAGAAAACTTCCTCTTTCACCTATGGAGCAGCAGGTGGATTCAAACTGCTGACCTTGTGGTTAATAGCCCAACTCATACCAGAGCTCTTTCACTGAATTGTATATGTAGAAATGGTTACATTGGTGTTTGTTCTGCTCTTTATATTCCCAACAACAAGAAAAATACATTTTAAAAGTTTTTGTGTTTTGTTTTTATGTTAATGACACCAAACTCAGGCTTTGGGACCAGTGAGTCCTAAGTCCCAAGCCTTTACCTTGTGCTTCAGAAGACTCTGGTGTCAGCATGCTGCTGATCTGCTGACTTTTGGGCCCAGCACTGTGGTCATGATGCCAGGCTCCTCAAATTCCGTTCCAGACTTAGCTCCAGCTGCCCCCACCCCCACCCCCTGCCCCAACCTGTGCTAGCTCACAGTTTCTTTAGGCTCCTATGAGACATTGTGTCCCCTTTGTGCTCTGTTCCGCATTCTTCCTGATTCAGAAAAATACTACATAAAGATGATCAAATCAGCAAGTAGTTCAGTTAAGTAGCTGAGTATGGGGAAATCTCTGCAGCGTTGCTCAGCACCAACACACTGATGCTGACATGGCAGGATTGCATCCTCCACAGGGTCACTAACGTCCCTCCACATTGACGGCGTAATCTTGATCTAGAAAAAGCACTGATGGTAACATTGGAGATGGGAAGGTTGTAACTAATCATCCAAGAAATCTTTTCTATGCCAGTGCCAATGCCGAAGCTCTTTGTGGCGCTGCTTTGTGTATGTATATGCGTGATCATGGTTAAAATAGATACAACCAAACAATTCCCATTCCAACAATGTTTCTATGGACTCTCCAGGGACGTAAACTCTTCATATCATGTGGTTACCACTACACTATTCCAAATGATTCCACCACTCTGAACAGCAGAAACTCAGTGCTCCCGAAGCCCCTTTGCTCTCCCCTCCCCCCCGACTTCTGATCACCATGAATAAGCTTCAGTTTCTATACATTTGCCTATTCTAGAAATTTAATATAAGTAGAATCATACTGTGGCACTGTGGGTTAATGTGCTGGAATGCAAAGTCGGTTTGAACTGTAAGGTCAGCGGTTCAAGCTCACCAGCCACAGTATGGTACTCGGAAACCCTATGTAGGGTTGCTATGGGCCGGAACCAACTCTACGGCACTTCACAACAACAACAGGATCACACAGTATTTGTGATTTTCTGTCATACCTCCTTCACTCAGCAGCATGTTTTTAAGGTTCATCCATGTTATAGCATGTACTTTATTATTTCTTTATATGGCTGAGTAATTGCTTTCTTTCCGAGTCCTGGTGTGGTGCTATTGGATAAGCACCGAACTGCTAACCACAAGGTTGGTAGTTCAAACCCTGTCACTCCTTAGAAACCCTATACAGGGTCGCTATGAGTTGAAATCAACTCCACAGCACTTAAAAATTGCAACAAGAGTTGCTTTTTAAAAAAACTACTGTGAAAGGAACTTTTGCAACCAGACGCACCACGTCTCAGGTTCCAGTTTTTAACATGCCACAAGCATTTATATGACATAACTCAGAAAACACTGGAAGGAGGGAGATGGCAGAAAGTGCCGTTTTACTATCGGCAAACCTCCAAAAACTGAAACCTCTTTTCCCTTTTCTTTGCAGCTGTAAAGATGTCTGCCAAGAGGCAGATCACTGCCAGAGTGGCATTGATTGAGCAACTCGTGTCTGACAGGAATTTTGAGGGTCTTGGCAACCACCTGACTGAACTAGAAACTATTCATGTGACTAAGGAGCATCTCCAAGAGACAGATGTGGCCAGAGCTGTGTATAGAGTCCTCAAACACTGCCCCACGGCGACTTTGAAGAAGAAAGCCAAGAGTCTGTTATCCAAGTGGAAAGCTCTCTATAAAACTCTTCCTCACTGCCAACCAACGGGCAACCCTCAGTTACTCCCCACCAGGGAGAGGAAGGAAGAGAAGGCAGAAGGTTCTCAAGCCTCAGGTAAAGATGAGATGTTGGACATCTCTTGCCTCTCATTCCAAGATGTTGCAAAAGCCATTGAAATGATTGTGCCAGCAAGTAGTGCTGTTTACATGGTACCTAAGGAGGGACACTGCAGTGGTTGTGACCCTGTACCTACTGGCAAGGAATCCAGTATGCCTCTGGGTCCCACAATGCCTGTGAGAACCAAATGCGTAGAACTGCTTTACAAAGCTTTAACTAGCTCTCCCACAGATCCTCCGAAAGCTGACTTATGGCAGAAATTCGCAGAAGAGATCGAAGAGCACATTTTTGCCCTTTATTCAAGAAACCTCAAAAAATACAAAACTTGTATCCGAAGTAAAGTGTCCAATTTAAAGAACCCCAGAAATTCTCACTTGCAACGCAACTTGCTCACTGGAACTATGTCACCAAGAGAATTCGCTGCAATGACCGTCCTGGAAATGGCCAGCCAGGAGTTGAAGGAACTAAGAGCTGCCTATACGGAGTCTTCCATACAGGAACATCTCCTCCCCCAAGGACTTGATGGCACACAGACAGATAAAATTCAGTGCAGACGCTGTGAGAAGTACAACTGCAAGGTCACTGTTATTGCTCGCGGAACCCTTTTCCTTCCAAGTTGGGTGCGGAAGTCCAGCCCCGATGAACAGATGATGACCTATGTCATTTGTAATGAATGCGGGGAGCAGTGGTACCACAGCAAGTGGGTGTGTTTGTAATTGTCAATATCTGTTATTTTAGCAACACAGAACTGGAATGATACCTTTCATTCATACAACTCATGCTTGTCTCTAAAATCGTATATGTTCTAGGCTTAAAACAATCCTAAGAGGAAAGAAAAGGAGCTCTGGTAGCGTAGTGGTTACGAATCGGGCTGTGAACCTCAAGGTCAGCAGTTTGAAACTACCAGCTGTTCTGCGGGAGAAAGATGAGACTTTCTGCTCCTGTAAAGATTTACAGCCTCGGAAACCCTGTACAGGGTCACTGTGAGTCGGAACTGACTCCACGGCACATAAACACCACCATCACCAAGAAGAAAGAAAGTCACTCAATGCCACTCACACCTTTGCCCAGAGCTGATAACTTGGGGGAAATATATGGCTATTAAAAGAATTTATATTGTGCTTTGCAGCCATTTGTGGTGGTGGTTTTAAATACTGGGCCCCTGACTCATGTTGACCCCATGAACAGTGGACCATTAGCATCGGTAGGTTTGCCCTTTAGGTGCAGTGGCTTGGAGGTGAACTTGGGTCTCCCCTTTCACTTTCCCATGAGAATTCTACACATGGAACCACCAGTGCTCCCATATTACAGCTAATTCATTGCTGGCTATTCAGAGTGTGGACCTGCAACACAACACAGGACCTGTGAGAAATGCAGATTCTCAGTCCCCACAGTACTGAATCCACATTAGAATCAGCATTTTGGCACAATCACCACATGTGCCTGTTCATTAGGGGTTGAGGACGGGACTGGATCCACAGAGGTGCTATGACTTGTCTAAGACCTATGACTATAAATAGCCCTCCTTGAACTGATGCCCAAACTTCTCAAAGCTTTAACTGGGTCTTCCACAGAGCCACCAAAAGCTGATTTGTGGCAAAAATGCATGTGGTGAAATGAGTTCCTTTATGTGGCCTGTTTCTTTGGTTCTTTGGAAAAACCGCTTGAGATATATCCCCCTAAATCTGAGGCATTACCCCAGTTACCAGAAGGTTTATTATTTTTGTCCACGTTGGTTGACATTTCCTGGACAAGCTGTAAAAACAACTTGGTTTTGATCTTTTGATCTGATCCTGAGCTGCACCTCACGTGGACTGACCAGGGTCAATGGACAGTGCAAATCAGGTGACCCACCTAGAGGACTCATGGGGTGGCGCTGTGGGATAATGAAAACCTTTTCTTTACTTTTTACAACAGTGGTCTCATACAATATCTGTCCCTTTGTGAGTGAACTAATTTCACTCAGCATAACGTCCACTAGGTTCCTCCATGTTATGCGGAGAATCTTGTCTATTTTCTTCCTCCAAATTCACTGTCAAAGGTTGCCTCAATAGTGACTTCTTGAGAGGTGGGGACCTAAATGCAGAACCTAATATCCAGTGACTAGAGTGCCATGCTTTTCTCGTTTCTCTTTTCTCCCTTCCCAAACCTCCTCAGGACTGTGACCATCATTCCAACACTCGTCCCATGTCCTCTTGCTTAGCTTCACCCAAAACCTATTGCCATCACTTCAGTTCCAGCCCATCGTGACCCCACAGGCCTTTCAATGCTGTAAATGTTCACAGGAGCGGGTCGCCTCATCTCTCTCCCACAGAGCAGCTGGTAGGTTCAAACTGCTGACATTTTGGTTAGCAGCCAAGCTTTTTAACCACTGCACCACCAGGGCTTGCTCAGTTTGAGGAGTTGTTTATTATTTGTTTGGGTTTGGTTTGGTTTTCTTTGCTCATGTTCTTCAGGGCATATGAACTCTTTCATCATGACATTTGGCTTCTGTTCAGAGCTTCACATTCTAAAGGGCATGTGTATTCAGCCTGAAATGCAAATTCTGCTCATCAGTATGGGTATCCATCTCTCTGAGAAGGCCCACCGCCACAGCCTTTGAGACCACCCACATTTCTGGAATGAATGGATTAAAGAGAAATGACTTCTCTAAGGCCTTTGCAAACAATGTTTCACCGATTTGTAAAATTGCTTAAATGTAAGGCACCTCTGTGATGACAGCTGATCTTTTTTCCCTTTAAATATCCTGCAATATTCATTCATTGCTTTTACAATTTTGCCCTATCTGCAAACTTAACATATTTTTACTGTTTCCCCCATTTTCTTTTCCCATCTCTTCTAACTTCCCTTGTGAGGAGAACTATATCCTCTTAACAAAGAGCACAGAAAGACACAACGCTTTACAGGCACTGCCTCATCAGGGTCATGGAGAGATGCAGGAATGGTTACAACAGGAGGGATATGGCGCTGCATGACAGAATTCCCCAAAAGCTGCAGTACACTGAAATACATCTATTTTTTAAAAATAATTTCATTATTTTTTAAAATGTTTTATTGTGAATTATGTGCTAGTTTACACAGGAGAACATTAGTTTTACATTCATCCTATTGTATATGGTTTATTGCCATGGTTACAATCCCTTCCATGCATCATCAACCAACCAAAGGGTATACACTACAAGCCTGCCCCCCAATCATCACAGACAGCCCCTCTCCCTCTCTGGGTCTCAAGTCCCCAGCTGCTCCATCTCTCCACATCATCGTCTCTGCCTCCATCTCAGGCATCACTGCTTCTCTGGGTACGGTCCTGCTCTCTGCTCAATCACTCCCCTCCTTTTGCTACAAAACGTCTACCTTTACATTTCCAACCCTCACCATCAGTCCTGATAACAATTATTCACTATTGTATCATAAGAGACCTATCCGCATTTCATTTAATCAGCCCCGCCTAGACAGATTGGATACTACTCAGTGGAGATTCTATCTTCCTTCACACCCTCTGGATCTAGGTTCCCTCTTGAAAGCTTGTAAGCCAGTCACTTCTTGCCTTTGTAGTCCTACCCCATGCCACATTTTTTTTGGGTAGCCAGTGTCCAAGTTGCCCATCCCTGTCTACTCTGTGTATGGAGGAGGTGGGAATGATCCTTGCTGTAAAGATTAGTTCCCTCTTTTGAGCTACTGCATCCATAGGTGTAGGTCAAGTTCATCAAATTCTATCAGATTACTCTTTTTTCCCCCTCTTCTTTCTTCTTCTGGTTGAGCTCTGATCATGCAGTCATTGAAGCCAGGTCAAGTGGATATTATCTGCAAGTATGGGTGTTCTTGTGCATGTGCCCTCTCTTCTTACCAGCTGGATGCTTCCCTCTCCACTCTAGTCCTCTGTGGCTATGTCACCGACTGCTGGCCAACCAGGTCTCCACCCGGGTTCACAGGTGTCTATTGAACGTTGTAGGGCTTAGCTTGCAGCTTCATTGCTGTTTTTCCCTCACTTCCCCTTAATGGTGACGAACATGGTCACCAATCAGAGCATGTATCCCCATTGAGTCTTAGTCTTGGAAGGGGGTTTACACTAAGGGGACCCGACCGCTTGCCTTGATGTCTCCTGGACAAGCAATTTGCTTATTCTTGTAGTAACCGTTGGTCTGCCTATATTGTTTTGTATTTTTCCTGTAGGTCTTTCTTTCAAGAAGTATCTTCTGTTCTTCTAGCTTCTCCAGGATGGTCTGCTTGTCTTTTCAAGTGGAAATTTCCCATCTCTGAAGATCTGGATGTGGTTCAGGCTTCCACCTATAGTCTTACATAATGCAGAGGCTCCACAGGAAGCCTCCTTCACTGGGCACATTGTAGCCCCATTTTAGGTATTCCAATCAGTATAGGCAGAAGATGGACTTACAAGCTTTCTATGGTGATGTTTCTGGCTATTCCTGTCTCTCCCCCACCAGTGTCTATTTTATAATATAATGCAAGGAAAAGCAAGATTCAAAAGACAAGCAAGCATCTTAACATTATACCCCCCTTTTCCCCATTCCAACCATGTCTCAATTTCTGTATCCCAGAACCCTGTTGTTCCAAGGTTGTGCATACATCATTATTTACCTCTGTCCCACTTAGCCCAGGCAAACCTGCCTAATTGTTCTCCCATCTGCTTTTTTCTTCTATTCCCCTTTCCCTTCTTGTATATTGCCCCCCTCCATAGCACCCAAACTATCCTGTGTCTATTCCCTACCCTGTGCTCCACCTTTCCCTGCCTCCCCTCACTCCACCCCCACATCCCAGCAACCAGCAAAGAATCCACCCCCCCTTTAGTATGGGTTCTTTTTCTTAGTCTTTTACAGTAGTGGTCCTATGCAGTAATTCTCCTTTTGTGACTGACTAATTTCACTCAACGTGATGTCCTCAAGGTTCATCCATGTTATGTGGTGGCTTGCAGCTTCCTGGTTATTTTTCAAGGTAGCATAGTATTCCATTGTGTGTATGTACCACAGTTTGTTTATCCATTCTTCAGTTGATAGGCACTTTGGCTGTCTCCATCTTTTTGCTATTGTAAATAGTGCTGCTATGAACATTGGTGTGCATATATCTTCTTGTGTTGTGGCTCGTATTTCTTGTGG